TGTCTACAACTTTGTCAAGCAGCCAGGGCATAGATATTATATTATACCACATCGTGCGATTCCCTATCATGTGTAGTCAGTGTTTGGTGACTACGGAGAGCAAGATGAGTGCTTAGAAATGCTGAGAGGGTCTATGTCCCCCAGGGTACTGCCGGAACGTACCCTAGGTACGATCACTAATATGCCGGACCGTACCTCGCCTACGTCCACTAACGAGTGTAAGGGATCCGTCTGACGCCTACTGCCCTAACCTAACCCTAACCCAGCGGTTCGACACTAACCCACGTGCCGACCGACCTAGAAGTCGGGTAAAATGCTTGGCCCGGTCGCATACAACCAGAGTGCTAAAGTACGCCCGACTGGTCATGTTAGAATTGGTTCATATATATTGCACTGAAACGTCACCTCTGGCTAGACTGTTCGCGGCCGCACTGAGTTTGTCGGGCAGAGCGTGAGGCCGGATACCAGTCTACTTCGGCACAAAACAATCAACGTGCTTTGCTGCCAGCCGCAGTAGACCGATCGATAAACCGTGCGTCGTGTATGCCCATGGTAGGAGATACGAATGCTGCACGTGAACTCGGCCCACTCGCGATTTTAAAACGCGGAGAAAAACAGCATCTACTGAATTCAATATGATGACACACTCGTTATCTAAATAAAGTTTTTAGCATAACAAACGGTCCTGGGTCTGAGCTAGTGAAAGTTGGTCAGGGCTACTGGTTTTCCCTCGTCTACTAGCCCGATGGTCTAGTGAAAATAAAAAGTTAAATGTTGAACCCTGCCCCAGCTGGAATGAACCCTAAAAAACTAACCATATCAAATAGTTACCAGGGTACGTTCTGGTATACCGGACCGTACCCAAGGTACGTTCCGGCAGTACCCCGGGGGACATAGACCCTATGAGCTTTAGAAATAGTTCAGGTTTTTTGTCTGTGGAAAATAAAGTTGAGACTGTGGCATGGCAAAATCTTCAATATTTCCACATCGCTTGACCAAAAACAGCAAAAACTTTGTAGTTTACGTTAAAAATACTAAATTTTAACAAACTTTACAAACAAACTCAGTGAAAGAACACATACCATCTATACAGGTCCTTTAAAAAGAGTCATATCACAGTTTTCACCACTTCGAAAAATCCATCGAACCACTAGCACTTTAGCATATTAGTAGTGGGGAATAATAAATGTAGATTGTTATATTTATTTTAATGTAAGTAGGACCTAAATTTTATTATTATTTAGAGAGTATAAAACCTAACCAGTGAATTGCCTTTCCTTTTAGACACATACAAAGTCTGGTAAATCAGACAAATCAAAGGTGTTAGATGAGAAGAGTTCATCTACAGGCCCGGCATGTGGAAAGGTTGTAGAGGAGAAGAAACGGGATGCCGAGAAAAGAAGTCTTGATAAGGTATATAAGTTACATATATATGACTATGTGTCAGACATGTCAAGTCTCACGCATTGAGCGAGTCTCATGCATTGAGCGTGAGACTCACTCATTTTGGTCAATTCTCACGCTCTCACGCTCATCTCTGAATTTCTCACGCAAAAATCAAAATAAATAAATAAATAAATAATTAAAACCCCCTATTTTCAGTCCCAGATACCAGTATACTATAGTATCAGAAGGCTAAGGCCCGATCAACACCGCCACTCTGCGGCCGCCCAGCTAGCTATAGCTCGCTCTGGCTGTATAATACGTATACGCTATAAGCGGCGCTCATTTTATTTGCCTGCTTGGAATCCAATATCCCACCTGGATGATGGCTTTGCAGGTTACTGAGGTATTTTGTTTACTTTTTAATTTTCAGCACACATCGGTTCGGGTCATAAAAAAATTAAATACATATTTCCCAATACTTCTAATCATTCAAAATGAGTAAGAACTTATATTTATAAAGGCAATAAATCATACCATAGGTATGCACTAAATTGCACCATTTCAAACCTCAAAGCTTTCGAAAGCTCCATACCGTGGGAGGGGGGCACCCCCTACCACACCCTCCCCCCCCCTTGGTCGCTTCGCTCCCTCGGCCGGTGTCACTCCGCTCAACGCTGAGTCTCACTTTCAACCATTTCTCAAACTTGACATCTCTGATGTGTGTGTGTGTGCGTGTGTGCGTGCGTATACAACCAAAGTTATCACAATTTTTTTATACTGGTAAATAGGTACTGTGTTTATAGAATGAATGTAAATGGCTCTCCATTATTTTTTAGCTCATCTGACATAGTCAGATGCAGCTTGTAGAATCGCTTGATCGTCCGTCCGTCCGTGCGTCCGAGCGTCCGAGCGTCCGAGCGTCCGTGCGTCCGTCAACAGTTGGGCACAAATCTTAACCGCTCGACGTACGGTCACGATATTTGGGACGTGGGGGGGTAATCCGAAAACGAGTTNTCTCTCTGTCTCTCTGTCTCTCTGTCTCTCTGTCTCTTTGTCTCTCTATCTCTCTGTCTCTCTGTCTCTCTCTCTCTCTCTTTCTTTCTCTCTCTAACTCTCTCTCTCTCTCTCTCTCTCTCTCTCTCTCTCTCTCTCTGTCTCCCTCCCTCCCTCTCTCACGCATACGTGTAGACGTCTCCTTCTTTCTCGCAGCTGGGAGCGAGCGCTACGGACGCACGTGACGAGAAAGCACGCTCTCGGCAGCCCGCCGCACGCATGCGCAGTGTGCAGCTTCGCCACGCGCACGCGCACTCAGCTGCGTCTGCATGCCGACGCTAGGCACGGCACCTCGGCTAAGCATCTCTGCCACACGTGCGGGTTCGTCTGCCGAGCCCCGTCCGTCTTCCACCGACACGTGGCGACACACGGCGGCGGCGGCGCGCACTCCTGCCACGCATGCGCGTTCACGTCGCGCACGCCCGCCGCGCTGCTACGTCACCACGCGCGCGATCACGTGCCGCGACAGCAGCACCCTCTCTCGGCCGACGACGACGATGTGGAGCGGTTCTGGCGCTACGAGAGTGCGCATGCGCAGCCGTACCGCTGTCTCGTCTGCACGTACGCGTGCTGCTTCAAGCACAACGTGCGTCTGCACGTTAAGCGGCATTTCAACATCCGGGAACACGCGTGCACGCGCTGCGATAAGCGGTTCGTGAGTAGTGCCGCCGCGCATGCGCACGAGCGACAGACGCACTACAAGCTGCACGCGTACGTCTGCTGTTACTGCGACTTCTCCAGTCCTTACTGGCGCACCGTGGACCAGCACAAGAAACGGCGACACGGGGGTGGGCAGGCAGTGCAGGTAGCAGAGACACCGCAGTCAACAGACTAGACCAATAAAGTTTGCCCTAGAAATGTGTAAAATCATCTGTATTCTATATCTATGGTATAATTTGACGTTATACACACGCACGCACGCACGAACGCACGCACACGTACACACATACGCACGCACGATGTTATATCGTCGTATTACAAGAATTTCTAGTGCACAAGAATTTATTGGTCTATCAGCAGACATATTGGCTTTGGTTTGGCCGTGTAGCTGTATAGACTGCAGGGGCGTGTACAAGGGGGGTCCAGGGGGTCTGGACCCCCCCTGCTCGCGCAGAAAACGCATCTAAGGGGGTCTAATTTCAAAAAATTTCTTGGGGGAGGGCCCCCAGACCCCCCCTTCGCGTGCTCGCAAGTTTGGGTTACGGTTAGAGCCCCCCTGGTACAAATCCTGTACACGCCCCTGAGACTTGGACGGACGCGAAAAGCTATTCCACGAAATATGTGATACAGACAAACGACGAGCTTGGGAACGATTACAAAGTAAAAACACAATAAACTTATGAACCCCAACAAACTACATACAGTTGTGCAAGAAGAAAACAAACTACGTATTCTTATTCTGCAATGTGTAATATTGTATTGCAACATTTATTACCAGTACGTGTATCATATAATTATACATACTATTAACGTAATTGCTGGCATGAAATTAATGACGAAAAAATGTTATATACCAAAATCGGACTAAAATCTAGAAACATACTATACATTACTACTACTACTAGTAATACTTGACTGAATAGATCCATATCGTGATATCTGTAAATACCTTCGCAATTGTCCATACCTTATGGGGCTACAAATAATTTAGTAACGGCAAAACAAAATATATGTGTGGTTACCATTAGATGCCGAAAAAAAGATGGTAGGTAGGTAGGGAAAACATTTTATTTTCTTGAAATATTTTATTTACGAACCATGTGTGAAGGATATGCGTTGTGCCTTTTGAAGCAGGAACTGTCCAATTAAATTTTTTTTTTTTTGACTTCAAAGAAAATTGACAATAAAATGTTTAGGGTCGCTGGGAATAAATAGGGTAGGTCGGGAAACCGTAACCACACCTATATTTTGTTTTGGCCTAAGAGATATAGCATTATGGAGTTGTGGAGTCTTTACATTTAAACATAAGACGGCGACTGGTGTGCTTTTATACACATGAACCACTGAGCTATGAGATATCATATAGCATTTTGGACTTTGTCTAAACATATATATGACAAACAGTGGTATGCATTGATTTAATCATAAACTAATAAAGATAGATGTTTTTTTAACCTTGATATCAATTACCATACACATATTACCGCGGACCTTAGAACTAGTTATCACTATCATTTATAAACATTATTTACAAAAAAACAATTTTTTATACATTTCTGTATAAGATATACAACGAATGAAAAAAATATGCACGTTATCATCATACTAGATATATATAATTACGATTGCTGTTGGATGTGATTCTTCAGATTAACAATAACATATAATGCTCAATAACAACAATTTTGCTGGCAGTTTTTTTCAAACTAGGAGTAGTCCAGCAAACACTGTTCCCATAATATGCATTATCATATAGTAAAATATGATTAGGGTGATCTATTGGCCATCTACACACATTGACCATTATTGGCTTGCATTTGTGTGACTGGTTAGTGACAGGTAATATTATTTTTGCCACATAAATAAACCATGCTAAGCCACGCATTACAGATGTAAACAAGCTTTGTTTTCACAAGCTTACATAGACATTTAGCCGCCCATTTACCAAACATGCCATGTGTATAATGTACACGTACACTTCAGTATTGCCACGCCTACTAAGCAATAGCATGAGCATCACTCTTATCAGGACGACACATTAAATAATCCCACCTCAATCAATCTGTGAAGTTTCTTTTGAATATCGGGCGGTGATGCTTGCAAGACCCTGAAAATAAAATTCATCTGTATTATTCTACAACACAGGGACACCACATATTGGCCTGAATTTAATTACATGCACGCAGTATTGTGTGTGAGTCTAACGGTTATAGTGAGCAGTATCAATCTAGGAGAGGCGTGCCTATCGTGGACTTGTATACGATACATGACATACATGATGTGTACACGATATCGAGTGATATCGATCCATTTTTAGAACGCACCTTCTAAAGTCTTGTGAGCCTGAAGCGCGAATGATTTCAAACAGCTTGCCGATTCTGGGATCGCGCAGTATTTCTGCAACGTCTTCCATTGCCAGTATACGTTTCATTTGTTCCTCCTCTTCGGCGCTGGGCCTCATGGGGTCATGGGGAACGATTCCACAAACATTGTCCGCACCCTTGTATCTGAGAGTTGAATTATTCTGAAGATCTTGTTCTCTCGCTAACGATTGGAAATGATCGCCTGTGGGTAAATGATAGAACGTCAAATAAACGTGTGATTAATCAGTAGCCATGCAGTTTTTACATGAACTAAAGAGGCTAACCCTTGTCAATCATTTTTCTGATAAAATCACAACAATAACTGAGCAATTTTAGTAGTAGTGTTGATCACAATACTTGTCCCCTCAAAAACCCACTAGTTATTCAGTGAGGTATGCCCGAGTTTGGCATAAAATACAGAACAAATTGATTTGTAATAAGAAAGACACAGTTACATGAAACAGAAATTAACCAAGGAAATCCATTACTCATTTCTAGTAATACTAACTTATTACCATGTGCTCTAAATTATATAACTTTATTAAGGAAAATGCATCTCCATGAAAAAGCCAAAAGAAACGAAAAATACTGATGCAACATTATTTACGGTGAGTACTATATCATGTAAACTACGTGAAATCATTCTTACCAAGTACAGCAGAAAACTGTTGAAAAAAGTTCTGCATCTCTTTATCATTGGCATATTTTGCCATTGCCTGCTTTGGATTAGTTTGGAACATTGTCATGGCATTCGAAATCCTTGGATCTTTCATTTTCTTTGCCAAACAAGGGTTCTTCTCTATCCATGACAGCAAATTATCTGTCATCCATGCTGTAATTAAACATGTATATTATCTATCTCTCTCTCACTATATACATAATATCAATGATATACATATTAAGCATCATGATATTTAAAACTGTGCTTTAGGAAACGTTACATATCTCGATCTCTAGAACTAACGTGATGTTTTATAAGGCTTTCAAAGCCTCACGAACAGGAAACACAAAGTCAATTTTATTACCAGATGGATACTTGTTACTACTTATAAATACCATTGCTGGATGGTGGCTGGTCATCCTTTAATGCTTCCTGAACTTCTGCTATGAGAAGTGGCGATTTCTTTGCACAAGGAGTTTGAGCATTTAGGCATTTGATGCCTGTATTAGTTCGAGTTTGCTTCTTGGAGTTGAGAAAACCTTTGGGCAAACCACCAAATGTGTCTTTCTCACACTTTTTCTTGGAACTTGATGGCATTTGCTTCTAAACAGCGTCATGAAACAGAGACAATGTTTTTCAGTACCTAATCGCTAAATATCTTTTACTCCCTTCCCCCTCCCCCCTCTCTCACTTGACTTCAGTTTTCTCAAGTTTCCCCTCTTTCTCAGTGTGTCTTTCTCCTCTAATCACAGCAACACACACGCGCACACGCGTACTCACACACACACGCGAACACACACACACTGAGAATTTTTGAGAATTTTCACCGGCATATCAGGTCTTTACACTGCTTACATCGGTGGCTCAGTCACCTGACTTGAAGAACCAATTAGATTGGTTTTGTTATTATATTACGCACGTTTGGTTTCGGCAAAGATCGGAGTAAAGAAGTCTATTAACGCACATAATTAATAGCTTTTTCGGTGTTCACGTAACGTGTTTCCGTACGTTCTTTGCCTTCTTGGGTGGGTCTCTCTGTTTTTTGTTCTCCCGCTAGATTTGCCCCATGCATGATTGCCTATAGCAGGACCACTACATAGTGCGAGATTGTTTAAGGTTAAGGTTACCAGTTATGCTCGCGGTCATTGTTATATTATTATATTATAATAACATTATATTATAATTACATTATATTATAATACAATAGTTGCGTAGCCACAACACAAACCCCAACGCTAACCCTAACCTGACTGATCCCAGATTAAGAAGTTAGCAAGTGTCTTGTAATAGACATTTATGCTGATGACATAAAGAGACAGGTAAAGAGACAGATAAAGAGACAGATAAAGAGACATGTAACAAGTCTAGTTATTTCTTCTCTAGGGGAGGGGGGAGGTGGGACCATACCACAGTACAGCCACAAACATTGAAATAATATACTAGTTAATCTCTCCATATATTTCCATGGGCATGAACATACATGCATTATACGAACATGCATTTGAAACACCTGTATCCAAAAGATACGTTTACAACACGTAACCGAGACACGTATTCTATGAACATGCGACTATGTATCGAGCACCTATCGCATCTTTTAATGAGAGCACAAGTGTTCGTGGTAGGTGGTTATAACGCATGTGAGTATACTATAGAGGTTTTACGCACACAGGTGATGTATGATAAGCACGTGCTGAGGAAACACGTGAATGCCATACACCGCATGGAGAAACACACGT